AATTTATCACGATGGACTAACTGACCTGACCTCATTCTCATCTTATTATCTTCCACTGGTGCCCCGCCAGCGTAAACCGTTAGCGCAAGCGGGTGCACCGTTTCATTATCATATACAAAAAAAAATAAGATCATCAATCCACATTACTAACGATCCCCTTTCTCCCCCAGATTTTAGAACTTAAGTTAGGGGCGCAGAAATCCCCAAAATAAAAGCGAAGGGGCCAGCAAACTAAAGCGGGTCGACGCCGCCGGAGTTGCGGTGGACTAATATTCGATCCCGCGACTCCGGCTATAGGCGCTTTACCGCGATACCTTGGGGTTTTTAGTGAGTAGGAGTCTCACAGTACCCGCGGGCTTCCCCCGGGGCCGGCGGGTCTCCATGAGGAATTTTCTCCAAGTAAAAAAAAAGGGGCGCAGAAGACCAGTGATATATCGGTTTATGCTGAAGGGGCAACAATGACGGATGATAAGATGAACATGAGGTCAGTTCAGTTAGCCGATCATGGTAAATTCACCATGAATTTATCACAGCAGGTAGGAGTTGACCTTTGAGAATATTTGTCCACATAAAAAAATTGAAGAGTTGGCCTTCAGACACTCCAAACTCCCTTCCGTGAGCTTGTTATACCCCTCCAGTTTAGTACTGAATAATGTCCATTCTCGTCCTATAAAGCTAGAGATGAAAGATCGCGGGTTCATATTAAAGTAGTTATTAAATTAAGTTATAAGTATTGGACAGCCTCGATGATCTAGCAGTTTAGCACACCACTTTACTTCCGATGTTCGCGGAATCGATTTGTATTCATTATTATTATTCTTTGTATCGGTCTGGGTATTATCTATGTATATATATTTTTTTTATACTACTATGGTGGCAAGGCATACGGCCCATCTGATGGTAAATGGTTACCGTAGCCTATGGACGCCTGAAACACCAGGGATGTCACGTGCGCGTTGCCGACCCTTAAGAAACCTTATGATATTATGTATGTATGTATTAAAAAATGTATATCTAAGTATTTATATCAGTTGTCTAGTACCCATAACACAAGCTCTGCTTAGCTTGGTACTAGATGGCGCTATGTGAATTCTCCTGGGTTATATAAAGCAATGGAATAGTTATTATTCAGAACTTTTACTATCAGTGTCACTCGCTTTAACAAAGACTTTTATGATATTTAATGCAAATTACGCATCACTATTCTAGATTCGCGGAATATGTATCGGGCCAAAAGACACGTCATCCCTTCTAGTTGTTATCTCTTCACAATAACGTAAAGATTTACGCAGACTGTAGTGAACACAACAAAGTCACGTCTTCTAAGCAATATTCATTTATTAAGATACTTCAAAAACGAAGGTAAATAAAAAATCGTTCATAACTATATGAATAATACCAATGTTTAATTTATTTAAAACTTTAATTTATATAATATATATATATATATAAATTAAAGTTTTTTTATTATCTTTGGACAAAGACTTTGGTTAAACACATACCTAAAAAAATTACGGTAAATAAAAAATTGTTCACAACTCTATAAATGTTATAACAATTTTATATTATAAAAACGAAGTTTTTATAATATCCCAAGACAAATACTGAGGTTAACACAACAAAGTCACGTCTCCTACCAAATATTCCTTTATTCAAATACTAAAAAAAACTAAGGAAATTAAAATATCTTTCATAACTCTATGAATAACACCAATATAATAATAATAATAATAATCTCAGGACAATTCACACAGCGCCATCTAGTCCCAAGTTAAGCTAGCTAAAGCTTGTGTTATGGGTACTAGACAACTAATACAAATTCATAGATACATTTTTTTATATACATATTATACATAGAAAATACCCAGACCGATACAAACAATCATACTCGTGAATACAAATGTTTGTGCCGCGCGAGGAATCGAACCCGCGACCATTGGACATAAAGCGGTGTGCTGGACCGCTATGCCACCAAGGTCGTCTTAATTATTATAAAAATTAAACATTTTTATTATGTTTGCACAACGACTGTGGTTAACACAACAAACTCACGTCTCCTGCCCAATATTAATTTATTAAAATCACAAATAAACGAAAGAAATAAAAAAATCGTTCATAACTCTATGAATAATACCAATATTATATTATAAAAATTAAGATTTTTATTATCTCTGGACAGTTTACCAGCGCCATCTAGTCCCAAGCTAAGCAGAGTTTATGTTATACCACTACTACACAAATGATTGATTACACTTACTTAAACACATTTTTTTTAAACATATATGTACATATGTATTTTATATAGCATATGCTGGTGGTCACTCTATTCTCTCAAATCGGAATTTTAATGACTGTGTATTATTGTAAACATGTACAACATTTATTTGAAAAGAATACGAGCTGAGTTTCTCGTCAGTTCTTCTCATCGCTCGATATCATTCCGAATTGTCGGTAGATTTGATATATCATAATAATCTGTAATAGACCTACATTAATAAAGATATTTTGAATTTTGATTTTTTTTTTATTTTTGCGAGGTTTTGATGGTTCTATAGGAAATTATAGAAATCGATAGAAATATACAGATATTTTGAAGATTAAGGTCGTTGAGGTTTAGCGGTTTAGGACACTGTCTTATATTCCGATGATCGCGGGTTCGATTCCTGGCACAGTGCAAACATTTTTATTCATGAGTATGATTGTTTGTATCGGTCTGGGTGTCTCCTATGTATATTACGTGTGTATTTACAAAAAAAAAATATTTAAGTATTTATATCAGTTGTCTAGTACCTACAAAACAAGTCCTGCTTTCTTTGGGACTAGATGGCGCTCTATGAATTGTTGAAGGATATTATTATATTACTTACAGTTTTATTGTTAGCGAGTTAAGGCAGTGAAGTTATAGGACAAGAAGCATGTCAACTTAGTCCTCCATAATGGTAAGGCATGGGTGGTATATCATGGGTATCACATGACGTGATGTATGCAGTGCTGTTCGTGTATATAAGCGAGGCCATTTACCACAAAGTTAGCCGTCACCTGGCTCGTCAGTTAGCCATCGGTTTTGCCCAGGTAGTTGACTTAGCTCACAAATACGATAATAACTTTTCTAGATTTCTTTTGAAGATAAAACACAAATTGTCCATCCTTTTGATACAATCTGTACATATATACATATAGTATCATGCTTTGTAATTCCCCCCTCCGATCGATCCCCCGTCCAATTCAAACGGGGATCGAAATTACGACGGCCTGAGCCGAGGTAGGGGTTCGACCCTAGTGGTGCCCTCAGACTAAAGTCGTATCCGTCGGGCAGGAGTTGGCCTTCAGCCGCTCTATAAGTCCTTCCGCGGGTTTGGAGTGCCATCTGCACTCGCCCCCTAACGTCCGGTGCAGCTGTAAAGGCCAGCTACGGCCAACAGTATTAGAGTAGTCCGAAAAAAAAACTTTGTAATTGTATAATTGTTTAAGAACTCAAAGTGTAATATATAAACATTCACGTATATATGTATGTAAGTATGTATTTAATTATAGGAGCCAACAGAATATCAGCGCTGCAGACTTATCTGTAGCTTGATGCTGAGTTGGCTGCCTCTTCATCATTGCGACACATAAAGCCACCTCCATTGTTTATTTTGTAATATTTATATTCCTGCATTTTGAATTTGTAAACTCTATTGATATTTATAAAATGTATCTCATGTATGGTATGTGTTTGTAATTGTTGAATAAAGAACTTATCTATCTATCTAACAATATTTTTTTTAATACAATTTTCATTCAAACGTTTTATTGTTAAATAGTAACAAACATCCAGGCTAACAGTCACTCTTTCGCATAAAAAATCTTATATATAAAATTCTCGTGTCACAGTTTTCGTTCCCATACTCCTCCGAAACGGCTTGACCGATTCTCATGAAATTTTGTGAGCGTATTGAGTAGGTCTGAGATTCGGCCAACATCTATTTTTCATCCCCCTAAATGTTAGGAGTAGTCCACCCCTAATTTTTTTTTATTTTAAGGCAAAACAACGTTTGCCGGGACAGCTAGTATTAATATGGAATTATGTATGTCACTCACTCACTCAGGAATACTGTATCTTGTGAACAGTGAAAGAATTTCTCAAATCTTTGTAGTGATACTGTAGTTTACTTTCGTCAGACAAAATCCACTCTCTTCATGATATTAAGATATTTTTTTATTTTGCCCGATTACACTAACTCTAATTTATATTTGGTTATAATCTAAAAGTTCGAAATAATAAGAATAATATCTCAGAACCATTCCCACAGCATCATCTCATCCCAAGTTAAACAGAGCTTGCGTTATGGTTACTAAACAACTGATAAACATATATGGACACATATTTTTTGTAAATACATATATAATAAACTAACACCCAGTCAAGCAATCATACTGATAAGTAGCCTAAATATTATTTGTACCCTGCGAGGAATCGGACCCACGACCTTCGTAAATAAGCCTGTGTTAAACCACTACACCAACGAGGCCGTCAATAATAATCAATATCTAAACATATAAATAAAATTGGATTGTCTGTTTGTAATATTGAAATAACCGTTTTTTACTACATGCATATAAATACGTACGCATAATATAATAACATAATATAATTAATAAAAAATAGCAAATTTTAATTTTTCTGTTTGTCTGTTCCGGCTAATCTCTGAAATGGTTGGACTGATTTTGACGGGACTTTTTTGGCAGGTACCTGATGTAATAAGGAGTAACTTAGGCCACTTTTATTTTAGAAAATTAAAGTTAAATTCTATGCGGTCGAAGTCGCGGTTGTAGCTAGTAATAATACAAAATTTGGAAAGCATATCGCTGTATCCAACCATCCAAGACGTCCTAGTTTTTATAGACATCGACTATAGAAACTAAATCCAGAATATGTACCCTGGATCCAAAACAGAACGATTGGCCACTCCAATATATGATATTAATATTACTTATTTATAAAACTACGAATCTCTCACCTCATCACTCCACTCACTATCACCGTACTCCCCGTCATTCGCCTTCTCATCATCCGTCTCCCTCACTCCCTGCAGCTCCTTCACCACCCCATCTAACTGTTCATCACTTAACATCCCCCACATCTGTATTGAAGACAACAACTCCTCGTCCTCATCACTCCAATCCACTCGATCCGGCATCAAAGAGTTCAGCCTATCCAGTTTCTCGTATAGCTTCTCCTGAGGCGACTTTACAGGTGCGACCGTAATTTTCTCCAACTTTTCATACAGTCTATCGAGCCTGCCGGCTAACGATGGTGCGGTTGTGGAAACCTGCACGGTTTTAATACGATGCGATAGTAAAATCAAGAGCACAGATAAACGCAACATCATGGGAGCGCGACGGGTTGCCGACTGGGCTCTGTAAGCTGCGGCCAGTGTTGCCAGTTAACTATTAAATTCCCCCCAAAACTCTACCTAGAATTTTCATTTACCTAGAAGTTTCTAGAAATATCTCGTCAAGATGAAGCTGTTATTTGTATTATGCTAATTGACAATGCATCATTTAACTATACGTGAAGTGTGTCTGTAAAAGATTACTTGAAGTATAAAATCTTTTGTGCATTAAAATCTCTACTTAGTATAATTCTTGTATTAGAACTTATTAATATTATAAATGTGAAAGTTTGTAATTATGAACCGATAGATGAATGGATTGACATTTATTAGTCTTTCTCGCAAAAACTACTGAACAGTTTTTTAAGGAACTTTACAGTAATTAGCTTATACATCAGAATAACACCGCAGAAGAGAAGAAACCGCGAGTGGAGCTAGTAATAAACAAATTTGTTATAATTGTTATAATATGCCGACCTCGGTGGTATAGCGGTCTAGCACACCGCTTTACGTCCGATTATCGCGGGTTGGAGTCCTCGCACGGCACAAACATTTGTATCCGTGAGTATGATTGTTTGTATCGGTCTGGGTATTGTCTATGTATAATATGTATGTATTTAAAAAAAAATCTATTTATTTGTATCAGTTATCTAGTACCTATAACACAAGTTTTAGCTAGCTTCACTTGGGTTTAGATGGCGCTGTGTGAATTGTCCTGAGATTATTATTATCATTATTATAATTAGCAACCTATCAACATTAAAAAACATGTATTAACTATTTATTACATTGAACTGAGCCGCTTTGAATATTTCGAAATCAATGAAAGATCTAACTGATATTGTCAACGATACAAAAATGAATTAAATGAAAGTCCAAAGTAGATCTTTTTACTGCAGTACAAAATCATCGTCTTCATTTGTAGACGGCGTATATTTTTCTCTTCCTTTCATCCCTGTTCACAATGATCTCGTTATTCACATCCTTTCTTCCCATATCATCTTTCATCCATTCTCTATTCTTATAACCATCCACATTCATATGTAATAGTTTCTTTAAATAAAATTCTTCTCCAATGGTTTTCACTACATTTCACCCATAATCGTCATCACCTACTTCTTCCTTATCCCATACTTTTGTGGTCAGCGTAATGATTTTCTCTTCTATTCAACATTGTACGCGCTTTGTTCAAATTTCTCCCATCATCACAAAAATCTCCTCAATTCAGGGGAATGCTTACAGTCTGGTATCACTGGCTGTGGCACATGGCGTGCACGTTGGGACTTTTTTAGGTAGCAGAGTGTGCGACTGTTCGTAATTAAAATAATTATAAGTTGCAGCATTCGTCTGGTTAAAATGTTTTAATTATTAATCAATTAAACTATAACAAGTATAGTCATTAAATTTAATTTCAATTAACGTTTTCTGTACCTTTTTATACATACAACTCGTTATTAAAACTATTCAACACACATAACGGAATATTACTATTAGGTACTTTAAATATAAATTTTATGGTTTTATTATAAAACTAGCTGTTGCCTGCGACTTCGTCTGCGTTTCTGTCGTTTTTCTTAAAACAAGTATCCTCACGGTTCAGTGGTATTGATGTGTTTTCCTACCCCCTTCACTGCTCTGCTCCTATAGATCGTAGCGTGATGAAAAATATACTATAACCTGCCCAGGAGTATGAAGAATAATTGTACCAATTTTCGTTAAAGCCGTCGAATAGTTTTTTTTTCTACAACGAACATACAGACAGACAGACAGACAAAAATTTTACTGACTGCATTTTTGGCATCAGTATCGATCACTAATTACCCCCTAATAGTTATTATTATTTTGGAAACATATTTCATATACTTGACATCTCTACAGATCTCTACAGATTTATAATAAGTATAAACATAGAGGTTATTATGACCTTAGGCCGATCGGAGGGCCGAAAAAGTGATGGATGGACTCTGTGAAAGATGATATGGTAAGAAAGGAAGTAAATAACGAGATGACTGCGAACAGGGATGAATGGAAGAGAAAAACATATTACAACGACCACAAACAAATGGGATAAGGAAGAAGCAGATGATGATGAATAATAATAATAATAATAATATCAGGACAATTCACACAGCGCCATCTAGACCCAAGTTAAACTAGCTAAAGCTTGTGTTGTGGGTACTAGACAACTGATACAAATACATAGATAATTTTTTTCGTAAATACATACATATTATACATAGAAAATACCCAGACCGATACAAACAATCATACTCATGAATACAAATGTTTGTGCCGTGCGAGGAATCGAACCCGCGACCATCGGACGTAAAGCGGTGTGCTAAACCGCTAGACCACCGAGGTCGTCAATAACAATTTTGTTTATAAAGTATTTAGGGTACATATAAGATGTTAATGAAAATACGGGCCTTATGCTTTATGTTTGGTCCGGCCTGATCAATTAGCGTTAAGTGCTAAAGTATTTTATAACTCAAAGTTCGTCGGTTCGTATTCAGTGCTGCCCTACTTGCGCTTTATAACATTATATTTATGGATATGTTATAAATACCATGTCTCGCCGTCATTCATATATTCAGTCCAACATTGTAGAGTTCCGTATTCATTTATTACTAGCTGAACCCGCGACTTCGTCCGCGTGGAATTTAACTTTATTTTTCTAAAATAGAAGTAGCCTAACTTACTCCTTATTACATCAGCTATCTGCCAATAAAAGTCCGGTCAAAATCGGTCCAGCCATTTCAGAGATTAACCGGAACAAACAGACAGACAGACAAAAATTGTAATAAATGTTATTTTGGTGTATGTACCGTATTTATATTCATATGCATGTAGTAAAAAACGGTTATTTCAATATTACAAACAGACACTCCAATTTTATTTATATGTATAGATGTATAGACTAGCTGTGCCCGCGGTTTCACCCACGTGAAATGTAAAGCCTATATGTTATTGTGTATAAGCTATATTACAGTAAAGTTTCATTAAAATCCGTTTAGTAGGTTTTGCGTGAAAGAGTAACAAACATACATCCATTCATCTATACATCCATACTCACAAACTTTCGCATTTATAATATTGATAAGACTAGCTATCCGCTCTGGCTTCGCACGGATGTATGAATGAAAATGCCTTATTGTTCCTCCGACAGAAAGTACGAAGATTGTACATTCAATTATGTTTAAAATTATAAAAACACAATAATAAATAAATAACTCTAGACAATTAACACAGCGCCATCTAGTCCCACGGTAAGCAGAGCTTGTGTTATGGGTACTAGACAACTGATATAAATATATTTTTTTTTTGTAAATACACATAATAATATACTTAGAAACACCCAGAACGTTACAAACAGTGATACTCATAAATACAAATGTTTGCACAGTGCGAGGAATCGAACTTGCGACCATAAGACGAAAAGCTGTATGCTTAACCGCTAGACCACCGAACATACATTGAACATAATAAACAAGATGTAAATGTATAATACATATAAACCTTCCTCTTGAACCAATCTATCCATTGCTAAAAACTGCATTAAAATCCGTTGCGTAGTTTAGAAGATGTAAGCGAACAGACAAAGCAGAGACTTCTTTTTATACTGTGATAAGATAAAGATCTAAATTGGCAACTAAGAAAATCTAGTCTCTACATTGAAGATGGAAACCGTAATAACAGACTGAAATAAATTCAGTACTGTCATAGAAAGGATAAAAAAAAACTAAATATCTTCATTCATGTAGGTCTATTACAGACTCCTATGATATGTGAAATCTACCGTCAGTTCGGAATGATTTCGAGATGAGAAGAACTGACAAGAAACTCAGCTCGTATTCTTTTTAAATAAATGTTGTACATGTTTACAATAACACACATTTATAAATTCAAATTTGGGAGGAAAGAGTGACCACCCAACATATGCTATTGCAAAAGCAGAAAGCCTAATCAATCGTAACCCGACCAGACCAGTCCGCAGAAGCAGCCGTTCACGAGTATGACGAATGAGAAAGCCATCATTGCACTCAATGATATTAGAAGGAGCACACTGATTCGGTCCACCACGCTGCTGATAATATAGTTAATATGAGGGTGAGGGAACCAGCAAATTGCATGAAGTTAATATTAGGTTCTTACATATGAAATTGGCGTTTTGTCGTACTGGCCACTTTGATCTCAAATATCTCCAAGGGGTTGGGTAAAGAATTCTTATTTCAAATTCAAATTCAAAAATCATTTATTCATGTAGGACATTTTAGCCGCTTATGAACGTCAAGTTTTTACATTATAATTTTTTTCCCTACCGTCCAGTTCGGTATATAGATCCAATTGAGAAGAACTGGCAAGAAACTCAATTGAATTACTTTTTTTTTTAAATCCAGTTTATTTACAATGCATAGGTATTTATATAGGTATCTATGTCTAACATTAAATGAAAATCCCGAACATGAAAACTATTGCCATGCACGCTCGTCATTCAAGTAATCGTTTAGTGAGTAATAGGCCTTGCTCAGTAAATATGATTTATGTAACAGATGTTTTGAATTTATTTAAGGGTAATTCCAATATATCCTTTGGTATCTTATTGTAAAATTTTATACCTAAATTTTATTTCAAATTTATACAGCTAAAGACATAACCAAAGATGGAAAAAACATACAGATTACGGTTTTCGAAAAACAAATGCATGAGTAAATATGCATTTGTTTTACGAAAACCGTAATCCATATGTTTTTTCCATCTTTGGTTTTGTCTTTACGTCACTCAGTAATGTAATATTAGGAATAATCATTGTAATAACGATAATAAAAAATGTCGTATCGTGCGTAAATTTTTGCAGGAATAATAATAATAACACTAGTCACACCAGTCACACAATGAGTACACACATACTCACACATACACACGCGCGCTCATACGCACGCACACATGCGCGCACTCATACGCACGCACACATGCGCACGCTCACACACATGCGGACACACACACAAACTGCACTT